TGTGTATTTAAATGTTGTGGACTCTTTTAATATGTTGTTTATAGGACGAAGCTGAAGCAAACGGAAGTGGACTGTGAATATCTTAAAAGATGTTGTGAGAATCTAACCGAAGAGAATCGGAGATTGCAAAAGGAAGTGAGTGAGCTTAGGGCTTTAAAGCTATCACCCCATCTATACATGCACATGAAACCTCCCACTACTCTCACAATGTGTCCATCTTGTGAGCGAGTCGCGGCAACATCGTCATCTTCATCGGTGGGTCCTCCGTCGTCATCGCGGATGGGACCGATGAGTCCGTGGGCTACGATTCCTCTCCGGCAACGGCCTGCTGCTGGTTCTCATTAGGGGAAATGTATTTTTTTTTAGAGTTCATAGTTTTGAAGTAATAGGTTTGGTTTTTCTTATAATGTGAAACGATCTTGGCATGTTGTTTCAAGAGTTGAGTCTCTCATGCTTTTTTCTTGTCTCCTTTGTTATATTGTCTAGTCTCTATTGATAGTTTGGATTAAGGACGAATCTACGAAATATATAATTGTAGAATGATTAAGAAAAGACGATATCGGGAATGATCGACATTTTTTATTAGAGTATCCTTCTTCATGAATTAAAACAAAAGAAAATAATACTTGTGTTCCGAATACTAAGTTAAGTTAAATTAAAAATGAAACTGATCAACCAATGCAAATTTTATGTATGAAATTTAAACATACAATATTATTTTATTTACTATTTGAAAAATTATACATCAATATTATTGAGTTAGATTTTTAGATATAGTATTTTGCAAATAACGAACATCACATAAACATTTTTGAAACATATTATTTAAAAGGTACGTACCTAGCTAGGAATGTTTGTTGACGGAAAACAATTTTTTCAAATATTAGTACTTCTATCCTTTATTGATTATCGGATAAATATGTACGTCTTTAATCAATAAAAGTACGGTTGTGGCAAAAAGTACAATTAATTATTATAATTAAAATTTTCATTTTGTAAGTGATTTGCAATAAAAAGCCGTGCATCTATATACAATTTACAACTATATGATTATTCTTAAATAATATTTAAATATAAAATTTATGTAGATGAGTAAATTAGAGTTAGTAAACATGTAATTTCAAGTAAAAAACAAATTTGTCGCCTTCATCAATCCATTCAGTTAGATTTAATAATTGTATCCAATATGAAAGGGAAAATTGCAAAAATGTCATTTGTTATGTGCACATTTGCAAAAATGTCANTTAGAGGTTCATTTGTAAAAATGCCATTAATTATAGATTTTTAAACTTTATATCTCAAAATTCTAGACACTAAAAAATATTTTGACCCTTAAACCCCCCTAAACTATCATAACTAAACCCTAATATAACATAGTTAACCCAAACATAATTAATAAAAAGAAAAAATAATTTTTAAAAAGTGGCATTTTTTGAAATTTTTCATTATTATTTTATTAAACATGATTCTTGTTTATATAATTCTTGTTGCTGATTTTTTTTTTGTAAAGCGTTTTTGATTATTATTTCGAGTTCAACTTGTGAGTTTAGATTTGTCTTGATTTGTAGATGAATAAAAATAGAATCTAACTCGTTTTAAACATGTTAATGATTGTGTCCTTACATAAAAAATTGTCATTTAAATATAAAATAGAATCAATATTTAAACATGTTATTTTCAAGTAAAAAAAAAATTGTCGTTTTTATATATCAATTCAGTTGGATTTAATGACTGTCCTTACATAATTCTTGCTCCATATTATTTTGAGAAATTTTTCGATTATTATTTCCAAGTTTAACTTTCTATTTGAAATATGTTTTGCTTTGTATTTTCATTATTTATCATATTCAAACTTTCAAAAGTGATTTTGTTTGGGAAAAAAAAATTGTTTTTCATTGTCATGTAACTGCAAATTAAAATTAATAGTATAAACATTTTATTGAAAAAAGTAAAAAGAACGAAATAGAATAAAAAGTCAAATTATTATAGTATTAATTTTTCTTTTTTTTTTGGTAAAATTTTAATGAGAAGGTGCAATATCGGGAATCAATTTTCTCTTAGAACAAGTACACCTATAAACGGTACAACCAGCCATTTTCAAGTTTCTCAACGCACATAAATAGCCACTCTTGTCCACAGTCGGCATCTAAACCATAAGCCGATAAGCTTCGAAGATGCACGTATGGTGGATTTTGAGGACTCTCTCCCAATTTTGAAAAAATAGTTGTTCTTTTAGAATTACGATTTTCAATATTATTTGATGTACCTGTTAAAAAACAAAATAGATATATCTAATACTTAAAATTACATATTACTAAAAATGAGTTATACATATTTTATTTGATTTAACGGATGATAAACTTACACGATGAAACAAGCACTAGAAGAGTAAAAAACAAGACAAATGTTTTCATCTTTTTGTT